GCGATGGCCGAGACAGGAGCGATTGCCACAGGGACACTGGCCCTGGGAACCAGGTTTCCTACCGGTATGGCAGGATCCTGATCTAGCTCCCGCAACTGGTCTGCAACATCCTCAGCCAATGCCTCGAACCATCCTGATGATTGCGAGGAAGACCGAGAAAGTGGCAGTTCGCCTGCCTGTCGGCCCATGTACGCGAGTGCCATGCCACCTCAAGAGCTACTCTCGCAAAGCCTCCGCACTACCTTTTAAGGCCATAAATGGGCTTGAGCCGTATATTTGCCCGGTCGGATCGTTGACTGGTTTGATCTACCAAAAAGCTTTTGAAGAAATGCCGAATGCAGAGACCAACATTTTCTGCATATCTTGCGGTGAGGGCTTGAAACGGAGGACTCCCCACCACAACAATCAGGCTGGACGCATGCTGACCTAGCGACCATAGCGAATGCTGACGGCATGAAGCCCAATCAGGAATGAAAAGGCACCGGATTTGTGTCGGGAAGGGAGCAGAAAACCTCATCAACCTTGCCAGCCGCTCGGTATCTGCGGCATATATGTAAGGCCTGAAATCCCACCACTGCGCATCTCATGCGCAAATACACTTGGAGGTTCATGGGTAGTTCTACATGGGCCTATAAGTCCCCTTATCTGGGTTTTAAGTATGGTTACCCTACTTATAACCCCACACATAACTACCCATGAACCTCCATACAAGCATCCCTCTGAGCTCTCCAGTCAGTTCCTGAGCCCCAGAAGTGGGAGTTTCCGAAGGTCCGAAAGTAGGGGACCCCCAAAAAAGTGCCCCAAATAGTAGGATCCTTATAACAAGGACCCCAAAATCAGGGGCCCCTCGTTTTCGGAAACTCAGAAACGGAACCTTCCAGCGCCGGCGAGGACAGCGCCACCGAAGCCCCGGACACGAGAGTCCTTGTTTTGGTAGGGTGTTTTGGGGTTTTGGGTACTCGGACAAAGGTTTAGGATTGGTTTAGGGTTGAAGGGTTCATGCAGTTTACGCCCTCACAACTCGGGCAAAATGTCCGACTGAGGATTTTAGGCTGTAGGGTTTAGGGACAGCTGACACAAGCCAGATGTGGTCTCTCCGTGCGATGTGGTCTCTCGGTGCGAAGTCGGACGTCAGACGGCTGCAAGCTATGTGCCCCCAGTCAGCTGAGATTGAAGGGTTCAGGTTCAGGGTGGTTCTAGTTCAGGGATTCTTGTTCCAAGCATTCGACGCCCTGCCAGTTTTTGTCGCAGCAGAGTCAGAAAATGATTTGTTGAACAACTCTGTGCAAACATCGGCCCTCGCCTCAACCCTGGACCCATTCACCCGCGGACATGTAAAAGCCGGGGAGCGCACGGGGCCAAGACCCTCCGAAAGCCCGGACGTCCAGTAAATCCCAAAACGCCAGACGCAAGTCTCAATCCTTTTTTTGAGCACGTGCTTTGGGAGTCTCGATCCTAAACCCTTAATGGGGACCCCTACCCTATAATGGGCTATATAATGGGTATATAGTGGCTATATTAAGGGTATAATGGGTATATACCAAGCGGTCCTTATTCTAAACCAAAACCCTAAACCTTAAGCAGCTGCAGCCACGAGGCACGGAAAGAGGCACCTCCGCACCCATTCCTCGGCTCTCGGGGATTTACAGTAAACCCCGTACCTTAAAGTTGGAAACCGGACTAAGGCCAAATAGTGCCGGAATTCCCTATACATTACTCTTATATTCAGGCTATTGGGTTTCCAACTTTTGGGCTTCTACTGTAGTACGTCAGGCTTCTTGCCACATATTTCAACCGCGGAGAACATGTATCAGCATCGCTGTTGTACACGCGAATCTGGTCTGACTTGAACAGAAACCTATGCCATCTATGCCGGCGTTATGTTCGGGGAAAATCCTTTCTGGAGCTTGCCGACATACTCATAAAGCCATGTGGACACGGTGGGTTCACCGTGGAAGTAGCAAGCCCACACCCGGCAAACCGGCTATCTTCGAGGCCGGTTGCCTTCCGCAGCGACCGCCATGTGCGGGAGGAGGGGCAGATGAGCAGCTGATGCTTCTGCAGATCATTCTTTCTGGACTGGGTCACAAAGGTCTCTGCGAAGATACATTTTCATGCATACTGCATGAGCAGACGTGTCGGATGATTGAGTTTCATGTCTTTCTTCTTGGCAGTGGGAAAGCAGAGATTCTTTCTGTTGAGTGGAAAGAGCTGGAGCGACAAGTAGCAAAAGTTCAGAGAGAAACGGCAAGTGGAGAGACAGAGAGAGTCACAAAGAACTGGCTGTCGAGAGAGATAGAGAGCCGGAGAGAAGCAAAGACAGAGCGAGAGAGAGATAGGGAGAGAGGGAGAGAGAGCGAGAGCCAGGCGGAACGGGGTGAGGCCAACAAAGATGATGGGAAGAATCGCCGCCATGTAAGCATGAAGCTGCAATGCCACACAGGGCCACCAACAAAAGTTAAGTTTAGTCATCCGGGCTCGCGGCATGTGCCAAACGGTGCAGCGCGGTCACCTCAGAATCGGCAACACTAATGGACAGAAATCCATGGAGGCATTGCTACAACTTGATTAGCCTGGATGCGTCGGCAAGCCTGTGCGGTGCAAAAAACAATGCTGTCGACAGCTGGAAAACCGCTTCTTGAGACGAAACGCTTCCCAACCGACAGCATACATGATCCGTAGCCTCATGACACACAGCCCTGAAACTGGGCTTCCAAGCGGTGTTGACCATGTTCAAGCCACCGCCACCTCCGGCCTCAATCGACGGCACGTTGCTGCCATGCGTATGTCACGGAGATGATTGGCATGGTGGGGCACTGTTTCTGATTATGGGGACGAAAGTTGTTGTTGCTGTGCTTGCCGTCCCTGGGTTTTGTCTTTAGAAGCCCTTAAAGCCTTAAAGGGTAATATATATGTATATATATATGTAGAGAGAGAGAGAGAGAGAGAGAGAGAGAGAGAGAGAGAGAGTTCTATAATCTATAATCGGACCCCCTTTATGGGGGAGTCTGGCTTCCCACTAGCTACGCTTGGCGATGCTTTCGGCTTTCGCTTCCTCCAGGCTCGGAGCACGCGCCATCACGAAATTCGCATGAAACGGGAGTTTAAGTTAAACCCTGTTTGAACCCAGGCTCTGACTAAACTCTAAACCCTAAACCGTTCTTTGGGCTGAACTTGATAGGTTTCATTCTGAAATCAGCCCGCCTCAAAGAGGTTCTTCTTCCTTATCCCCGAAGGGCCACAATGTCACAGGGGCCAGAGAGCGACTTCCATGGCTGTAGCCAATGGAAGCATCAAATTACACCGACTCTCATGGAACATCAATACCCTTCTTTTTGCCAGCGGCAAGTAGCCACGATGACTCTCGTGTCATCCCTGAAGAAGTGAAAATTCGGCTGGGGCAACTGTATGCGATAGAGCAGGGCACAAGTATGACCGAAGTTTGGAGCAGTCTCGACGAGAACTTCGCAGCACATCGAAGGCCCTCCTCCCCGGCACTACTGTCTCCACACGTCGGCACGAAGGGGTCATGAAGTGCTTCTGTCTTGAACACAGAACTTGATTCGAGTACCTCCGTGCACGAGAGTGTAGCAGGAAGTCGCTTCAGCGGCCATCATCGGACCACAGATCTCAAGCTCTCAGTTGCCCTTAGCAGAATCCGCCAGCTCTCCAGAGCCTGAGTCAAAGGACACAAGATTTCGTAACAGCTTGGTGAACCTAGCATGTGAATATATCAGTTGGCGAGGCTGCTAGCATCTTGTTGTCGTGAGTCTAGCAGGTGAGTTGGAGAATTCAGCGCGTAGCCCGACGGAGGCTCAACATTGGAATGTCTGCTTCCCTGTGGCAAACTCGCCCTGTCATGCTCCAGGTGCTCCCGTTCCTTCATTTCATCGACTCTTCTTCGATGTTTGAGCAGGCTTCTTTAGGGGCTATCGAGCTAGGAAAGGCAGGCATTGGAGGAATGATACCACGGAACCAACAGCTGAGATGTCAAATTCATGAATGAACTACCATGCTGAACTATGCATCTGCAAGCATTGGCGCTCACGCCGCATGACTCATGCCCAACTTCCAAACTAATCATGTCGATCTTGGGGGTGAAGAAGTGCAGAGTTGGTACAACGCTGCTTCAGAACTTCATCGTCATCATCAAACCATGACGATCGACGTACACGCAGTGTTGACGTTACTGTTACTGTTATAGCCAGCTATACGTAGCCAATGCATCATATTCCCCTGGTCCCCATTCCTATCGTTGTTGTCATGCTATCCCAGCCAAAGAACCCTGGGTCTTCGTGTGCAAAAGCAGCACCAATCATCATCATCATCAACAACATTCCTACACTTCGTAGTATTCGAAGCACAAATGAAGCTACTGTAATAAAGCACCGAAGTATCATGAAAGCATGCGGCAGAATTCCAGGCGAAGCAACAATTATAGTAACTATCACGTCCTCTTGTTGGAACCCACAGGCCTGCTTAGCTCTCCTCCAGCTCGGTGACGGCAGAGCTCACCTCCGCTTTCGCCTGAAGAGTGCCGATGTCAGCTCCATAGTCGTTCCTTTTTTAGGGTCAGGTAATCCCAAAAAAGGAACTACTATGGAGCCCATGGGCTAGGGTTTCGGGTCAGTTTAGGGTTTAGTACTCGTTGTTTTAGTTTAGGGCCCCTGTAGGGATCCGTGTCGTCCGTGGCCCGGAAGATTCTAATTCATCTTCGTGATGCCTGCCTTCCGGATACATGGGTGGTTGTCAAAATTAGGGTCCCTTTTTTGGGTCCTTATTAAACACCTAATATTTAGGGTACCCAAAAAGGAACCTACATGGGTGACCACCATTTCCTATCTGCAACATGCCCCAACAACTCCGAGTCAGTGGGCTCACGGTTAACGAACATGCAAAGTTGTTGCGTTCTACCTAGTCGAAACTGAAGTTGTCAACTCTGACAACTGACAACAGTCGACCCTTAACAAAGTGTTTTTTTAAATTGCGCTCTCATACCGAAACGACACGCCTGCAAGACGTTCGGCAAGGCTACCCGGCATCTCAACCCTAGCCTTCTTCCGAAATCCGGTCCTCTTCCTTGCCTGCCCTTCATGAAACCTCCACAAAGCACAGCAGTCCCCGAAAGGCCACCGGACCTAAACAGCTCCCAACCCGGAACCTTCGAAGATGCCTCCAATCAAAAATCCCGCAAAGCCTACCC